GGGTCCAAGCACATCAGCCGAAAATTGAATGGGTGATGGCTGGCATTGCTTCTCAGTCATCAACTTGTCCTTGAAGACTTTATCAGCACCTTTGACCAAGATGCAGTATACAACATTCTAACTTTATCAGGGAATTGGTTTAGGAGATATGGGCATTTCTTTGCTATTGTGCCACCCAGTCATGGATTTACACCCAAACTTGATCACCTTAAGCCTATTGTCCTATAGATATCAGTTCTCATGTAAATATGAGAGGTAATGTAAATGTTAAATAGGTCAATTTTTTACCATTATGAAATACATGTATTATATGCAAAAATGTTTGCCATTAAAAGAACCTAAATGATTTTTGCCATCTCAGCTCAGTGAAAGTTGACCTGAGTCTAGGTGTCTGGGTGAATGTTGATGTGGGTGTAGCTGTCTGGAATGTAGCAAAGTGTAGTTTCTGACTGGGGGAGTGGTGGAAAGTGAGTGCCATGCAATTTTGGTACAGATTGCTATTTGACACAACTAAAACAATCATGCAAAGTTTCATGATGATAGGTCATAGTTAAGTCAATTTAAGGGCTCCTGAAATTTCATTTGACATTTGACATTGACACCCACTTTTACACTCACACCTATGGGCAAGATAGCATGTCCAATTGACATTACCTGAATGTGTTTGGACTGTTGTAGAAAACCAGAATACTCAGAAGAAACCCACATGAACACAGGGACAAGGTACAAACTGAACGCAAATGCACCCCGAACTAGAAACCTCCATATTGTTAGGCAGTAGTGCTACCCATTTGCACCACCGTACTGCCCCCCACTACATATATGTCAAGCTTAAACATAAGCAGTGCCATAAAATGCAGTATGCCTTCTTGGGACGTTGCAATAAGAAGTGCCAGCACTGTTGGAGGAGTGCAATTTTTGGGTATTTGAAAAAATCCAAAATCATGGGAGAAATGGCAGAGAACATACCATATTAGCTGAATAGAATAGAATATCCCTGATTAGAAAAGGACCCCCCCATCTTTCAACACCTGTTTTTGGTAACAGACTTTTTGAAGATAAAATCTTATTTTTTAAAGAAATCATTTCATTTGATATCAATTTACTAAAGCACACTGAATAAAGCAAGGTATGCTGATCTTTTAAATGAAATTCTCACCTTTCAGATCTTGGTCTGAAGATGGTGCGTACCAAATTTCGTGCAAATTGGACAAACCGTCTAGGAGGAGATAGATTTTAAAGGTTTTACAAAAAATTCAAAATGGCAGAAAATCCAACATGGCGCATCATTTTGTTCATCTGGAGCCAGGGAATCAGAGGAAAAAAGAATTTTGATTCTACCCCAAATGGTTCAAGAGTTATAGGCCAAAACGCATTGTGTCTTGCTATAGCGCCACCATCTGGCCAATCGGGGTAATTTTTTTACATGAGTAGTGGGTGACCATAGCAACCTAGGTAGCTCTAGCATCTATAGTTTTTGCTGTGCAAACACTTTTAGGGCAGAAAAAAAAAATAATAAAAATGATAAAAATCAGAACAAACACAATAGGGTTCCAGCACTACGTGCTTGGACACCTAATAATAACTAGTAAAGTGCATTTCCTGAAGAAAATGCAGAGTGTGCTTGCAACCCGGCAGCGAAAACATGGTAACGTATATGAGACGATCACCAGGATGTGGCTAAGTGGTTACCAGGCTGTTGCTAGGTGGTTGCCAGGGCATTACTAGGTGGTTGCTAGGCTGTTGCTAGGTGGTTGCTAAGGTATGTAAGGTGGTTGCTAGGCTGTTACTAGGTGGTTACAAAGGTATATGATTTGGTTGCTAGTGCGTTGCTCGGTAGTTGCTAGGGTAAACAATATGGTTGCTGGGGCATTGCTAGGGCGTTGCTGGGTGGTTGCCAGGGTGTTGCTAAGTGGTTGCTAGGGTAAACAATATGGTCGCTGGGCATTGCAAGGGTGTTGCTGCGTGGTTCCCAAAGTGTTGCTAAGTGGTTGCTCGGTGGTTGCTAGGCGGTTGCTAGGGTGTTGCTAGGTGGTTGCTAGGGTAAACAATATGGTTGCAAGGGACACACCCACTTTTGGTGAGTGATGGGTCACATGACCCAAAGCATCATATCAGGTCCCGTGGCTATTGGTCAAATGGTGACCAAGTGGTAAGACTTTGAAAAATGAATTGAATTCAATGGGAGGATGGAGGGATGAATAAATGAGTAAAAGATGAGTGCAGGTCAAAATGTGTTTCAATGAGTGTTTGGTGGCATGACCTGAGCCAGCATGTGAGGCACTGTGACCATAGGCCGAAAAGTGACCGAGTGGTAAGACTTTGAAAAATGAATTGAAGTCAATGGGAGGATGGAGGGATGAATAAACAAGTAAAAGTGTGGGTCAGTATGGATTTCAGTGAGTGTTGGATGATTTGACCTGAGCCAGCATATGAGGTACATTTGCTGGCAGCCTAAGTGTGACCGTGTGATAGGGCTTTGAAAAATGAATTGAAGTCAATGGCAGGATGGAGAGATGAATAAATGAGTAAAAAAACTGATTAACAAAATGACAAAAAGACGAGTGCGGGTCAAGACGGTCTTGGATGAGTGTTGGGTGATTTGTCCCGAGGCAACATGTGAGGTATGGTGGCTGTGGGGTGAAAAGTGAGCGAGTGGGAAGGCCATGTAGGGTGAGGGGGGTGATTTTGAAAGTGAATGGGAGTCTATGGGAAAAAAAGAGATGAAAAACGACAAACACCGGAGAACGAGTGTGGGTACGGCTTAGCTGTATACAAGCAACCCGATCGGGGTCAGACCGGACGGGTTACAGTTGGTTTGGGGTGGATATCTCGAAAACTGTGGGAGGAGAGCGGTCCAAAATTTGGTGGAATAAGAAGAAGAAGAAGAAGAACTAGAAAAGTGCATTTCCTGAAGAAAATGCAGAGTGTGCTTGCAACCCGGCAGTGAAAACGTGGTAACGTATATGAGACGATCACTAGGATGTGGCTAAGTGGTTGCTAGGCTGTTGCTAGGTGGTTGCTTGGGTGTTGCTAAGCGGTTTCTAGGTTGTTGCTGGATGGTTGCTAGGCTGTTGCTAGGTGGTTGCTAAGGTATATAAGGTGGTTGCTAGGGTGTTGCTAGTTGGTTACTAGGGTGTTGCTAGACAGTTACTAAGGTATATGATTTGGTTGCTAGTGCGTTGTTGGGTGGTTGCTAGAGTGTTGCTAAGTGGTTGCTGGGGGTTGCTAGGGTAAACAGTATGGTCGCTGGAGCATTGCTAGGGTGTCGCTGGGTGGTTGCCAGGGTGTTGCTGAGTGGTTGCTAGGGTAAACATTATGGTCGCTGGGCGTTGCTAGGGCATTGCTGGGTGGTTGCCAAAGTGTTGCTAAGTGGTTGCTAGGTGGTTGCTAGGGTGTTGCTAGGTGGGTGAAAGGGTGTTGCTAAGTGGTTGCTAGGCGGTTGCTAGGGTAAACAATATGGTTGCTAGGGACACACCCACCTTTGGTGAGTGTTGGGTCACATGACCCAAGGCAGCATATCAGGTCCCGTGGCTATTGGTCAAATGGTGACCAAGTGGTAAGACTTTGAAAAATGAATTGAAATCAATGGAAGGATGAGTGTTGGGTGGCGTGACCTGAGGCAGCATATGAGGTAAGGTGACCGTAGGCCGAAAGGTGACCGAGTGGTAAGATCTTAAAAATAAACTGAGGTGACTGAGAGGATAGAGGGATGAGTGAACGACAAAAAGATGAGTGTGGGTCAGTATGGCTTTCAATGAGTGTTGGGTGGCATGACCTGAGTCAGCATGTGAGGTACTGTGACCGCCGGCTGAAAAATGATTGAACGGTAAGACTTTGAACAATGTATTGAAGTCAATAGGAGGATGGAGGGATGAGTAAACAAGTAAAAGATGAGTGCGGGTCAGTATGGATTTCAGTGAGTGTTGGATGGCATGACCTGAGCCAGCATGTGAGGGAAGTTTGCTGACGGCCTCAGTGTGACCGTGTGATAGGGCTTTGAAAAACTGGGAGGAGAAGCGGTCCAAAATTTGGTGGAATAAGAAGAAGAAGAAGAAGAAGAAGAAGAAGAAAAAGAATAAAACTATCGGATAACAATAGTTTGCTTGCACTGCTTCACATTGTGCTTGGACCCCTAATAATAAATGAAGATGGCCAGGTCTGATAGTTTGTCAGTTTCTTTTTATCCTGTAAATCCATACTCATGGTCACAGCTGTGTTAATAACTCTTCATCCCACTCCAACTCAGCTGAAGTACCCAAGGTGCCCAGACACCCACACACCAGTATGCCCAGTATATCTCAGACCAGTTACGACCACACTTAACACACACATACTGCATATACTGTACATGCTCCATCTGGGCTGGGGGTCTCAGTATCTGAGGTTTGCCTGTGTGGAGTCTGCTTGAAAGCAGGGGGTGTCTTGCTCCCTGTCTGCTCTGTCTCTTTCCCTCACCCCTCCTTCTCTCCCTCACCCCCTCTCCATCTCTCCTCTTTCTCTCTTCATCTCTCCTGGCTTATCCTGTGTGCTGGCTTGGGGGTGGAGGTTGAGGTGGCTACAGCACACAGGGAGAACATCTGCTTCTCATTCAGTCACCCCCCACCTCCTTCAAAAAGCTTGAGCCGGAAACATTCAACGCATTAAGTAGGTCTTTAAAAAAAGAAAAACAGATGCATTCCAAAGGCAAATATCCCACTCTGCAATATCACTGCTCCCCTCCTACATACAGATACAGTTACTAGTGATTCACTGAGCTGGGGAGGGCTCCAGCAGAGTCTTTGTCCTTGTACCACTATCAGTGTGCTGGATCTAGAGAGGAGGCAGGCTGGGGGAGAACGCTATCCATTCTACAATGACAGCTCTACGTGAAAGGTCAGGCTCCTTGTGGACAGCCCCACCAGCAGTGCTCAGGGCAGCAGAGAGGGGGTTGACATTTTCTATTGTGTTATGCTCTATTGTGATGGAAGTCACTCTGGATAAGAGTGTCTGCTAAATGCAGCAGTGTAGCTTAGTGGTTAAGGGGTCGGACTCGTAACTGAAAGGTTGCCTATTCGATTCCCCACTGGGCCACTGCTGCTGTACCCTTGGGCAAGGTACTTAACCCACAACTGCCTCAGTAAACATCTACTTGTATAAATGGATAACATTGTAAAAACACTGTAACCGATCTGTAAGTTGCTCTGGATAAGAGCGTCTGCTAAATGCCAATAATGTAATGTAAAATGCATGTAATGTAATGACATCTGAGTGATCCTGATGTGTTTACAGGGTCGCACTCACCCCAGGATGGGGTGCAACACCAGGCAGTGGGGCTTGTCCAGGCCCTGGATGACGGCGTTCTTGAAGGAGCCGTCCAGCCGTGCCACGTTGATCTGCTTCTTGTTGGCATCGTAGCTGGTCCAAAACAGGTTCCGGGAGACCCAGTCTACTGCCAGGCCGTGGGCATTGGGCAGATCTGTCATAAACACACACACACACGTGCGTCATGTGTCTGGAGAGAGCCTCGCTGTGCCATGGAAACCCAGCACCACTGAACCCCAGGCACACCTGCGGACACCACAATCTCCACCCCAGTGCCGTTGATGAAGGCCCGCTTGATGGTCTGGGTGCGGACGTCGGACCAGTAGATGCGGCTCTCCAGCACGTCATAGTCCACCACTGTGACGTTGTCGATGTCTGGTACAGTGAAGGAGATGATGTAGTTGTAGTAGGGGTTGTCAACGTCTACCCCACGAATCTCGATCTGCCGTGCATAGAGGAGGAACTGCCGGGACTCTGCAGAGACAGAGAAACCAGGTCAGAGGTAAGACCCATGGACTGAGTCGGAGAATAGACATGTGGACTGAGTCGGAGAATAGACACATAGACTGAATCAGAGAACAGACACATGGACAGAGTCAGAGAATGAACACATGGACACACTTTCACAGCACCCCACTTCCATCCAAATGGGTCAGCAGGGTACATACAGTATCCAGTCCCTACTTCAACAACTACCTCCCATGGGTAATCTCATTCATCATCATCATCATCATCATCATCATTGGTGGTCTTACTACTTCTCAAGTTGTGTGACATGTTTTTTCAGTGCATTTGAAGTGCTGAAAATGAGTGGCATGTCATCATTACGCACAGTAATACATAAAGGGATATGTGATTTTTTTAAAAAAGACACTGCAACCACTACTGCCATTTCTGTCAGAAAGCCCTGACCCGATTCTAAATGACTCCCAGCCCTGCATGTAGAGTTAATGTTAGCATTAACAGGAGACTCTGCCTATGGGGCCTTCAGCTCCAATTACCCTCAGACTGGCTGCTGTGTAATTGGAGCTATGCTGCAGAATACTAAATACCCAGAGAGCAGGGAATACCGCACAACTGCCCTTCCCCCTCACGGGCACACCCATCATCACCAATATGCAACGACATACACACAGACATGCAGACATGCATACAGTACACACACAGACCTGCACATTCACATGCATGCACACACATACACACACACACACATACAGTCACTGTGAGAGTGCACTTTATCAGTGCTTGATTAACCAGTCTCCTTTGAGATAAGGATACTAATCCCCTGGGTGAGTGGGAGGAGCACTGCCTTATCAGGAGGCTGGCCTGGGGTGAGTGGGAGGAGCACTGCCTTATCAGGAGGCTAGCCCAGGGTGAGTCGGAGAAGCTCTGCATTATCTGGAGGCTGTTGATGATGGAGGGATGCCATGATGCTCTGTATGGGAGTCTGGCTCTAGCTCTCAGGAGGCTGGGGGGATGGTTAGAGGGAGCTGTGGGCTCAAACCCCATGTCAGACACTGCAAGTGTAAGCTGCTTAAAACCTAACCAAACCAAATGGGAACACTGTGTGCAAGAGGCAAAGCACTGGAAGACAACAATGAGATAATGGCGACCACACAGATGCACAGACACACAGTGTGGGTGCTAGGTTACCGTAGCAGGTGTGCTTGTCTGTGCTGAGCTTCATCAGGTGGGGGCAGGCGCAGGAGAAGGTCTGGTTGTAGTTGATCAGGCACAGGTGAGAGCAGGGACCTTTTCCTCTATTGGCAGCACATGGGTTTGGGGCTATGAGGTTGCGAGGGGTACAGGGGGTGGGTAGGGCAGAGAAACAGGGTGGGGCAGAGAGGATGGAGCAAGGGGAGGGTGAGAGGAGTGGAAGCAGAGTGTGGGAGACAGAGGAGAGGGAGGGTCATATGGACAACAGCAGAAGAGACAGAGTTCATAGTTACACAAACAGGAAGACAAACAGAGACTAAATGAATGCTCTTAGAGTGCCTTCAGGAAGCATTCACCCCCAATAATTATTTCTCTTTTTGTTGTGTTGCAACATCAAAATGAAGTACATTAGAATGGGATTTTTTTCTGCTCTTTTTGAAGTGACTCTTTACAGAAATAAAATGAAAGAAAGTGTTTAGACATCTTCAGAAGTATTTAGAAATACAAATCTGTAAAGTACTTAATTGATAAGTATTCACCCCCTTTCTTTAACTAAATTAGGAGAAGTGTTTCATTTTCTTGAGAGCTCACACTAAATATGCACAAGGTACACCTGTGTCCTATTGTATGCTTGTACAATAAACATCACCTATTTTGGGAGGTCTCACAGCTGATATGGTAGATCAGATCAGTCTTGCTGTCATGAAGACCAAGGAACTCCCCATGAAACTTTGTGATGAAGTTGTTAGGAGGAAAAAAGCTGGAGAAGGTTATAAAAAGATTAGTGAAACTATGAACCTTCCTAGGTGCTCCGTGAAATCCATTAAAACAAAGTTGAAAAAATATGGCGCAACCTAGACGCTACCAAGATCAAGCCGTCCTTCCAAACTGAGCACCCGGGCAAGAAGGGCAATTGCCAGAGAGGTGTCCAAGAGACCAGCTACAACACTGAAGGATTTACAAAGCTCACTGGCTGAAATGGGAGAACCTGCACAGACAACAACAATATCATCAGCTCTTCACAGATCTGGTCTCTATGGGAGAGTGGCCAGAAGAAAGCCACTTCTAAGAAAGACCAACATAAAGGCACACCTGGAGTTTGCTAGAAGCAATGTAACAAAACCTGAGAGCTTTTGAAAGATTTTGTAGTCTGATGAGACTAAAGTTGAGCTCTTTGGTCTAAAGGCAAAGTGCTATGTTTGGTGCAAACCAAACACAGCTCAATACCCAGGTAACACCATCCCTACCATCAAGCTGGTGGTGGTAGCTTCATGCTCTGGGATTCTGTTTCAGCAGGAGGAACTGGAAGGCTTGTTGCTATCAAGGACAACATGGATGGAGCCAAATACAAGCAAATTCTTTCAACCTGTGCTAGTCAGCCAGAGATCTGAGTTTAGGGTGAAAATTTATGTTTCAACAGGACAATGACCCTAAGCACAGGGCAAAAACTACAAAGGAATGGCTTGAAAAAAAGGTTTGTGTTCTGGAATGGCCGAGTCAAAGCCAAGCCTTAAATTCAACTGAAAATTGTGGCATGTCCTGATAATTGCTGTCCACCAACATTCTCCATCTAATTTGGCAGAGTTGTCTACTTATCAATTAGTTTTGAGATTTTAATTTTTAAAACAATTCTGAAGATATTTAAATACTTTATTTCATTTTGAGTCACCTCAAAAGGAGCAAAAAAATCCCATTCTAATATACTTAAGTGGTTATTTCTCTTTTTGATGTTGCAATACAGCAAAAAGAGAAATAACCACTGGTGGGTGAATACTTTCTGAAGGCACTGTATGTGGCTAAGACAGCATTTGCCACAGAGTATAAAAGCTAAAATATTATTATAAAATATGACTGTGAATGTGGCTACAAAACACCTCTGTTGCTTAAGAATGTATTGCAGGCATAGTGGTGAGTAGTTAAAAAACGTCCCAGTGAAAAAAACAGTGACATTCTTACAATGTTTTTGCTAAATTCCTAGTCATGGACTGGAAATAGCTGCCCTTTAAAAAACAACTTATTCAGTGAAAATGTAATTTCCCATATTACTGTCTGAGTCTCTGAAGTCTGCAGAGGACATGAGAGAGATGCTGCAACTCAGCCTCTGGCCTCACAGTAAACAGCTGCCTTTTTGGATGTGGAGAGCTTGAGGTCAGTGATTCTGACAGGACATGCCGGTTGCCATTTTCTTCTTCTTAAGTGCCAGAGAGAATTGGGAATGCTGTCAAAAAACGTGCCCATAAACGCCCCTCTCCTGCCCCTCCCCCCAGGAGGTGTTAGAGTGCATTGAATGATCAACTGACAGACGAGCGCATGGCACTGCAACGGGCAGAGCACCTGAGGCTGTTTTCTGAACAATCATCTGCAATTTACCTCAGTTACAATTCAACACAAGGAAATTGGGCTGGAAAATGTATTTAAAATTATCTTGAATATAATAATCAAACACATACACTCGGTGACCACTTTATTAGAACACCTCTCTAATACTGGGTAGGACCCCCCCTTTGCCCCCAGAAAGGCCTGAATTCTTTGTGGCATGGATTCAACAAGGTGCTGGAAACATTCCTTAGAGATTCTGCTCCATGCTGACATGATAGCGTCACACAGTTTCAAGCTGCGAATGTCCTGTTCCACCACATCCCATAGGTGCTCTATTAGACTGAGATCTGGTGACTGTGGAGGCCATTGGAATACACTGAACTCATTGTCATGTTCCTGGAACCAGTTTGAGATGACATGTGCTTTGTGGCATGGCGCATTATCCTGCTGGAAGTAGCCATTAGAAGATGGGTAGACCGTGGTCACAAAGGAATGAACATGGTCTGCAACACTCAGGTAGGCTGTGGCATTTAAACAATGCTCTATTGGTATTAAGGTGCCTAATGTGTGCCAAGAAAATGTTCCCCACACCATTACTTTACCACCTCCAGCCTGAACCGCTGACACAAGGCAGGATGGATCCATGGATTCATGTTGTTTACGCCAAATTCTGACCCTACCATCTGTATGTTGCAGCAGAAATTGAGATTAGTCAGACCAGGCAATGTTTTTCCAGTCGTCTACCATCCAGTTTTGGTGAGCTTGTGCCCACTGTAGCCTCAGTTTCTTGTTCTTAGCTG